ACATTGTCAGCTACATATTCTAACACCACACAGTGGCACTTACACATACTCACTAACAGTGTCACTTGCACACTCTCCCTAACACACACACCCAGAGTCACTTGCACACTCACTAACACACATTAACTATTACTTACACACTCTCACTAACACACACACCCAGAGGCACTTGCACACTCTCCCTAACACACACGCCCAGAGTCACTTGCACACTCTCCCTAACACACATTATCACTTACACACACACCCAGAGTCACTTGCACACATTAACTATCACTTACACACTCTCACTAACACACACACCCAGAGTCACTTGCACACTCTAACACACACACCCAGAGTCACTTGCACACACTAACACACACACACCCAGAGTCACTTGCACACTCTAACACACACACCCAGAGTCACTTGCACACTCTCCCTAACACACATTATCACTTACACACACACCCAGAGTCACTTGCACACATTAACTATCACTTACACACTCTCACTAACACACACACCCAGAGTCACTTGCACACTCTAACACACACACCCAGAGTCACTTGCACACTCTAACACACACACCCAGAGTCACTTGCACACACTAACACACACACACCCAGGTCACTTGCACCTCTAACACACACACCCAGAGTCTTGCACTCTAACACACATTATCACTTGCACACACACCCAGAGTCACTTGCACACATTAACTATCATACACACTCTCACTAACACACACACCCAGAGTCACTTGCACACTCTAACACACACACCCAGAGTCACTTGCACACTCTAACACACACACCCAGAGTCACTTGCACACACTAACACACACACCCAGAGTCACTTGCACACTCTAACACACACACCCAGAGTCACTTGCACACTCTAACACACACACCCAGAGTCACTTGCACACTCACTAACACACATTATCACTTGCACACTCACTCACACACACACCCAGAGTCACTTGCACACTCATTAACATACACACTATCACTCAAACACAAACTCACACCACTTTACATAAAGTCACACTTTATTCACAAACACATTAATTTAACACACTCCCCATTTACAAACATGCACACAATAAGCAATCCCCCTTAACCATGCCATACCTGGGTGCTGTGAAGAGGCCCAGGCAGCAGGATCCAGGATGTTGCTCTTCTTTCTCCTGGGGGAGCAGGAGAGCCTGCACTGTGAGCACAGGCTACTTCCCGCTCCCTTCACAGTGCTTCCGGTGTTCACAGGCAGGGGGCAGCCAGGATACCTGGTCATATCCCAGCTTCCCCTGCCTGCAGGAAGCAAACAGTGCTCTGCAGTAAACTCCACTGCCCGAGTAGGTAATTTACAGCAGAGAGGAGCCCAGCAGGTGAGTGGCTGCGCTGGGGGATGACTAAGGAGCCGCTCGCCCAGCACAGCATCCCCAGACAGCTATAGAATGGCAGCCCGCCTGGAAACTTCTTGGTGGGCGCCCCCCAAAGGCCGGCGCCCCAGGCGAATGCCTTATTCGTCTTAATGGTAGCGCCGGCCCTGAATGCATTTATATGATAATGGGTCAAAACCAGCCTGGAGAGTCCCTTTAAAGGACCACTATAGGCACCCAGACCACTTCAGCTCAATGAAGTGGTCTGGGTGCCAGATCCATCTAGGGTTAACTCTTTTTGCTGTAAACATAGCAGTTTCAGAGAAACTCATTGACAGCCGCTAGAGGCGCTTCTCACTGTGATTTTCACAGTGAGAAGACGCCAGCGTCCATAGGAAAGCATTGAGAATGTGTTAACGTGTCCTAGGCCCCATGAAGGGGTTAATATTCCCTAGGCCCCATGAAGGGGTTAAAGGACCACTCGTTTTCCTGGCACTATAGTGCCCTGAGGGTGCCCCTCCCGCCCGGCTCTGGAAGGGGGAAAGGGGTTAAAACTTACCTTTTTCTAGCGCTTCTCTCCTCCCCATCGGCTGAATGCGCACGCGCGGCAAGAGCTGCGCGCGCATTCAGCCGGTCACATAGGAAAGCATTCTCAATGCTTTCCTATGGACGCTGGCGTGCTCTCACTGTGAAAATCACAGTGAGAAGCACGCAAGCGCCTCTAGTGGCTGTCAATGAGACAGCCGCTAGAGGAAATAGGGGAAGGCTTAACCCATTGATAACCCATTGATAAAGCCATTGATAAACATAGCAGTTTCTCTGAAACTGCTATGTTTATTAAAAAATGGGTTAAGCCTAGCTGGACCTGGCACCCAGACCACTTCATTAAGCTGAAGTGGTCTGGGTGCCTACAGTGGTCCTTTAATATTCCCCAGGCCCCATGAAGGGGTCAATATTTCCCAGGCCCCCATGAAGGGGTTAATATTTCCCAGGATCCATGAAGGGGTTAATATTCCCCAGGCTCCATGGAGGGGTTAATATTCCCCAGGCCCCATGAAGGGGTTAATATTTCCCTGGCCCCATGAAGGGGTTAATATTCCCCAGGCCCCATGAATGGGTAAATATTTCCCAGGCTCCATGAAGGGGTTAATATTTCCCAGGATCCATGAAGGGGTTAATATTCCCCAGGCTCCATGGAGGGGTTAATATTTCCCAGGCCCCATGAAGGGGTTAATATTCCCCAGGCCCCTTGAAGGGGTTAATATTCCCCAGGCCCCCATGAAGGGGTTAATATTCCCCAGGCTCCATGGAGGGGTTAATATTCCCCAGGCCCCATGGAGGGGTTAATATTCCCCAGGCCCCATGAAGGGGTTAATATTCCCCAGGCCCCCATGAAGGGGTTAATATTCCCCAGGATCCGTGAAGGGGTTAATATTTCCCAGGATCCGTGAAGGGGTTAATATTCCCCAGGCTCCATGGAGGGGTTAATATTTCCCAGGATCCATGAAGGGGTTAATATTCCCCAGGCCCCATGAAGGGGTTAATATTTCCCAGGATCCGTGAAGGGGTTAATATTTCCCAGGCCCCATGAAGGTCCATGTGTCCTAAAGCAGTTTTGGCTGAATTACATTTTTCCAAGTCAGCTCCAGTCCTCCAGCATCACAGAGCGGTTTGGAGCCGGGCAGCCAATCAGAATCCGTCCCGGGCTCCAGCTGACAGCGCGAGTCTCTCCTTCCTACGTCCTGCTGTCACACGTGTTGCTCTGTGTTTACATTCTGCAGCTGGCCACGTTGTTCCCACTCCTGGCTCTCCTATTGGTCGTCGCTTGACGTAAGCCCCGCCCATGGGAGAGGGAAGAGGCGTGGTCTCCAGCCTTGTCTTTGCAAGTTCCGCGGGAAATTCAAACCAGCGTTCTGCTCTGCAAAAAGAGCGGGTTCCGTCCAGCGAGAGGGGGATCAGGCGGCGGGCGCCTGGCAACACAAAGAGCCTCTATGGCCATGTAAATGGGGCCGGGCAGGGCCTGAGCAGCCACCCTGCCTGGAAACATTCTGATAAACAACAGGGTGTCCAGGGCTGCTCTGCATCATCAGCCCAGAGCTAGGACTCCATGGGGTGTGGGGCCAGCACATTGTGCACTAGCAACTCCCATGATCCTCAGCCATCCTATAGCTAGGATCATCATGGGAAATGTAGTCCCTGCAGTGCCCCAGGTTATTACTCGCTGTTATTTGGTGGTATGCTCCATGTGTACAGGAGAATGTGAACACCATAACTGCTTTATACAGTCTGTAATATTATTGATGTCACATTATACCTGCTGGGACTGGCACTACAGACACCTACCCTAAGCAGAGAGGGTGCATAACTAGAATAATGGTCTGTAGCAATGTTTGCTAGTTGGGGCATACTTCTAAAAGTGGGGTAACCAGTAGGGATAGAAGTGGAATGTTTCTCTTAGGAAAAAGTGTATATATTGAATACATATATATTTTTTTTTTTTTTACTGATCAGGGCTGGTTAGCAGGGTTGTCTGTGTTGGGGGTGACCCTGAAAGGGCTATTAATGGGGAGGGGGTCGTCTGACCTCCCCAAGAGGCAATTATTGGGTTGTATACTATAATACTTTTCAGCCATTTGTATCCCTGGCTGAAATCTGCTTTATAATAACCAGCTGGGGGCTTGTGTGGGATTTCTTCAGTATTGGCTATGGCTAATTGTATTAGTAAATGGTTGTTCTCCAAATCAGCAAGGGTTCAGTTTAAAGCCTCATGTCCGCTGAGCCCCAGAGCTTGCACTCTACACAATAGATGTCTGCTCCACGGAATTTACAATCTCTCTGTGAATTCTCAGGCAGCACAACTGGGTTCCAGATTCTAATCTAACACAGAAAACATTTTTTGATTGTGTAATCTGAGAAGTGCAATGGTCAGCTTTAAAGCAGATTATTCTAAATAATAGGTCTTCGCCCTCCTTTTGAAACTACTCCTATAATTTAATTTTTGTTCTGGTTGTTCTGATGTGTGCAAAACTGGTTTGAGTAACTTCCATTTTGTTTCCTGCTGGATCACCATTATACACATGTGGCGATCTCCTAATCTCAATGCCTGTGCTGCTAACAACCCCCCTCCCTCTCCATTTTAGTGGAGCTCAGTCTGTACCTAAAAATTTATATATTGCAATCTATTATCAAATATTAACACAAACCTCTATTGATCACCCCCTCCCCCCTCCTTTAAACAAGACTGATTGTACTTGCAGCCACAATAAATATAATCTGGATTATTTTTGTTCATATTCCCACCATACTATAGCTGGAAGACCCTCACTCTGCCATGTGCCCCCCTGACAATGATACTAATGCATGTCACACATGTAACAAGAAATACAAAACTTCCTATCCTCTTTTTCTCACTACTAAACACGTCATTCCCATCCCCCCACAAACAGTTTATTATAATTTCCTCTCAACCCCCCCTCTCACCTTCCCAGTGTTAATAGTGAAGTTAAGGTGAGAGCCTGTCCTGCCCCCCCACCCCCACCATCCCCCATTGCTTGGTGTCTGGGCGCCAGGCGCATGCGCTCGCCACCCTGGGCTCTATAAAGCGGCTTGGCGCCAGCTGATCAGCTGAGACCCG